CCCCCCCCCCCCCCCCCCCCTCCAAATATAATGTACTTTTTTGTGGAGTCCCAGGTGGCTCTGTTTTAGGACCGCTGTTGTTTATATTGTATACAGTATGTGACCTTTAGGTAATGTAATCAGGAAGCATGGGATAAACTTTCAGAGCCATGTAGATGATACACAGCTGCTTATTTTCAAACCTTCTGAAATGCAGAGCTCTGCAAATGGCCTGACATGTTACTTGTGAGATACTTCAGAATGGATGTACCAAATTTCCTGTCACTATCAATTCTATTGATAGTGGGTGCAAACATCAGTGTTCAAAATCATTTTTACTTAATATTTTAAACATAATGTTTTAGCTTTTCAGTAACTAAAAGTTTTTGTGTCATCTTTTGTGAACATATTATTCAGAATGCAGAGGGCTACAACATGAGCATCCCAATGCCAGGCCACCCAGTGAACTTCTCTGAGCTGACAATGGCTCAAGCCCGGCAGGATGTGGAACAGCTGGAGAAGCTTATCTCTGAACACGATGTGGTCTTCCTGTTGATGGACACTCGTGAGAGCCGCTGGCTTCCGACCGTCATCGCTGCTAGCCAGAGAAAGGTAGCTTCCTCCTGCCAATCTTTCATTATTTATTTATTTATTTATTTTCTGCTCACGTGGCTGCCTGCCTTTTTATTGTAGGTTATTGTCACAGTTGTTGGTAAGTGCTACACAGAGTTTGTCCTGTATCTGATTTAAGAACCTTTAACTACAAATAACCCCTACCTGACATAACAGGGTGCTTCTATATTTGCAGCACTTTACTCTAAAATGGGCATACTGCACATATGTATGTTTATTATAACTGATTACAGTAGCAATATTATTATTATTATAAAAATAGTTTTAATAACATTATTATTAGTTTATAATTACTATTAAAATGATTTAATGTATATTATAATTATAATAATAGTTTTCTGTTAGTAATAGTACAGCTGCTAGGCCCAAAAGGCTGAGAGCAAATCCAACCTAAAATCAAATTCAAAACTGGAAATGAAGTTTTAGAATTGTTTTGCTTTTTTGCGTAACATCTTTTGGTTTACTTGATATCCAGACTGAACCTTTTTAGAGAGAGTTCAATATGTCGGTCTCTCTGCAGTTGATAGTTAACGCTGCTCTGGGATTCGACACGTTTGTGGTAATGAGACACGGCCTTAAGAAACCCAAAGAGTCTCAGTCTGAAGAGTCCAGCCCCATGTCTGCTTCCTCCAACTCCTCATGTTCCTCCACACCAGCAGCCACCATCACACCAGGTACAGCTCAAACATATCCATGTGTTTTCCACAGCTTTTGTTGCTGTTTAGATTAAGTATGTTGTAAAAGCGGAATGTAAACACAAAGCAGAGCTTTACGGTAAACCTCAAATGCAAAATCTCAAGTCATCAGTCATCACAGTTAATGGAATATTTTACCCAAAAATGAACATTTGCTGAAAATGTGCTCACCATCCGGCCATCCCAGATTAGGATGAGTTTGTGTCTTCATCAGGTTTGGAGAAATGTAGCACTGCATCAGTGTCTCAGCAATGGATGCTCTGCAGTGAATGGGTGCCGTCAGAATGAGAGCTGATAAAAACATCACAATAATCCACAGCACTCCAGTCCATCAGTTAACATCTGGAGAAGACAAAAGCTGAAACACATCCAGCATTAAGACATTTTTAACATCAAACTGTTGTTTCTAATAGAGGTCGACTGATGTATCTGTTTTGCCGATTAATCGGCACCGATAGTTGATTGCTGGAACTATCGGCTATCTGTAAAAATCCATGCCGATAGGTTTTCTGGGTTGCGTCTGTTGCTGGAGCGGCTGAAGCTCCGCTGTCATTATACAGTACGAGAGCGAGAGCGGCCTCTAGAGGCGGAAATCACTGAAAACACGTGCTGTTTGTTTTGACACGTGACACTGAGATGGGTGCCGTCAGAATGAGAGCTGATAAAAACATCACAATAATCCACAGCACTCCAGTCCATCAGTTAACATCTGGAGAAGACAAAAGCTGAAACACATCCAGCATTAAGACATTTTTAACATCAAACTGTTGTTTCTAATAGAGGTCGACTGATGTATCTGTTTTGCCGATTAATCGGCACCGATAGTTGATTGCTGGAACTATCGGCTATCTGTAAAAATCCATGCCGATAGTTTTTCTGGGTTGCGTCTGTTGCTGGAGCGGCTGAAGCTCCGCTGTCATTATACAGTACGAGAGCGAGAGCGGCCTCTAGAGGCGGAAATCACTGAAAGCACGTGCTGTTTGTTTTGACACGTGACACTGAGAGCGGACACTTCAGACGCGCGGATTTAAAACATCGACAACTAAACGGTGTGTACACATTATACTGTAGTGCAGTGTTACTTGCTTTTTCTTTGAATTAGAACACAAAGGTACACTACACGACTGATTACTTTTGGACTCCGCCATTGTTTGGCTAGCGCTTTCACCGGAAAATATTTTTCCCTACTTCCGGTTTGTTTACGTCACGTTGTGAAATAGGCCTATTGCGCGGCTCGCCAAGCTTTACTTTGTGGCTCGCATGGCAGTAAATAATACGATGATATGATCATGCAGTCAATATAAATATTTCATAAAAACAAGCAGGGCTATAACATAACCCATTAAAAAACTCACACCATGTCTACACCGCACGCGAGTGGCGCGATCCGACAAAAGACAATAGAACCCAGTGATGTTGTCTACACTCGATGCGACACGATCCCAATCAGTAAACTGATGCCTCGTTCTGTTTATGATGAACTGTACTGACACTACGTTCAGATGATCTGCAACTGTGTAGACAGACTTTTAGCACAGCAGGGTGCGGCACGACAACTGTTGCATCCGGTGTAGACATGGTCTGACCGTGTCTGCTCTATTACAAATAATTTATATCTTTTTTAAAAATACCTAAAACAGCGGCATTTAAGAGATGGAAATATAGACTAGAAAATATATTTACACTTGCTCTGTCCTACGTCCATGACACTGACCAGTTTTAATCTTAACAGCTCTTAACGCCGAATGTGCACTCGGATGGTTAGATACATGATGGGCTAGTATAAAAAAATAAAATAACTTTAAGGGCTTTCCAGCATTAAGGTAATCTTGACTCAGTTACAAATTTGACTGGTAAATGATAAAGAACAATAGCCCCTTTTGTATTGCATTGCATTGCATATGACAGATTGATAAAAAGACATGCTATTTATGACTGGATGTCATATGAGTGTGGCTCCCATGAAAAAAATAGTGAAGACCACTGCTGTAGTGCATGCTTTCATTTCATTACTAGGTAATTAATTTGTTGACTAGATGCTGCATTAGTGGAGAAAGAACAGCAGTATGTTTGCTGTCAAGGCTGAGAGGACGCACACATTAGCAGCACCTCAAGCCATTAAAACAATGTGACCAAAACACACACAAGTCTGACCCAAATGTTTAATGTCACGATTGCTACCATCTATTTGCATTCGTTTATATCCAGCTATATCCACTTTAATGCGTTTGTTATCCATTGAAGTTGCAGATTTAAAGCTGTGACGTGAGAAAGCATGCTGATATGTGTATTTAGTGACAGAAATCCTGCCGCAGAGCGCATTCACACAGTTTTCCGATAAATTACATTATATTTGTCCCAAATCATTGTTAATGTACATAATGACTTCATATATTTTAAAATTTGTAAGTTGCTTCTGTTAACATTAGTTAATGAACTATAACTTTAATGATCAATATATAATTTGCACATTTTATGTACAAAGTATGGTTCAGTACTGTTTCAGTATTTTTTGTTTTTAAATAGTAAAGCACTATTTTAGTTTTCGTTCAGCATCCATTTTAAAAATTATCGGTTGATTAATCGGTATCGGCTAATGTGGTCCCACCTAGCTATCGGTATCAGTAAAATCCACTATCGGTCGACCTCTAGTTTCTAATAGCACTTACATATTTGTTATCCAGCCACATATTTGTTTAGAGCTGTTTTGGCTCGTAAACGGTGCTTGATCTGTGCAGATTTCTCTCCTGATTCAGACCAGATGGCTTTTTTTACTGGAGGAAGCATTATTATGGATTATGAGCTCGAAAGCAACGGTTTGTAGTTAAAAACGTCTTAATGATGGATTTGTTTCAGCTTTTGGCTTCACAAGACGTTAATTGATGGACTGGAGTGCTGTGGATTACTTGTGATGTTTTTATCAGCTGTTTTGTTTGAATTACAAAATTGTGATCACCATGCCTGTCATATCTAACATTCATATCTGAATTTTCCATCCACCTTATTCCTGACGAGCCTACTGCGTTATATAATTTGGGTGGCACTTCCGGTTTAGGGAACTTCCATTCAAAAAGGTTGCCCTACAAATAAAGCTTATCCGTCTCTTTAACTGAATGAGCTGTCGGTTTGCCTTCATGTTTTATTTTCAGACATCATGAGAATAACATAACGCTTGGTATTTTAACGTGACATGTTATAGCAAGAATATCTATGGCAAGAGCTCTTTTCAGTCGCTGCATTCTTTTCCTCGTGATTATTTTCTTTATTCCCTTTGCATTCCGCTGTAATAGTATGAAAAAGGACAACATTTCTGTTCTCTCGATTTAATTTACGATGTATCCCATTAATAATTCACTGGAATGCACGAAAAATCTCTTGTTTTTCTCCTCCTCACGTCACTTTCCAGGTTTGTTTGTTTTCACAGGTAAATACAATTTATCATCTGTCGAAATGACGGAAATCACTTTGAAATATTATCACGCAATGTTAAAGTTAATGACAATTTTTGATTAAGGCAACGTATATATTAGAGTGATATTTCACCCGTCTGTTATTGCTGTGGAAAGAGTAGTGCTTTTGGGGTTATTCATATGCTTTTACACTTTTAAATGTCATTTTAATGTTCGATGCTTGAAGGGTGAGTAGAATAATGGCATCTCATTCTACCCAGATTAAAAAAAAAAAAAACTTATTGCGTTCATAGGGCGAGCCTTTCACTGATGGTTTACAGCTTAACAGAAGTTACACACATAATTCGCTCAAAGCGTCATGGGGTGTAGGAATAAGGTGGATAGTCAGTATAACTGAATGTATTTTTTGGTATTACTCATAGTTCTCTAGTCTTATATTTAGAGCTCTGCTCTGAAGTACCGGAGTCTGTTTGTTAAGACTATCTATCCACCAACATATTTTACGTCCATCTTAATGCTTTTCATTGTCTCGCACCATGAGCACTGTGTTTTTAGGACTGTGTTAAGTTAAATCAAGACCCCTGCTTTCTGTTCTATTCTTTGTCCCTCCTTTGAGCTGTGAATGCAAGAGCGCCTCCTGTGTGAATGGCTCGTGACTCATTCTGCGCCTGTTGTGTGACTCATGAAAAACCATGAAGGTGCTACTTCAAGCTTGAATTGGGCTGATCATATCCACGGCTCTGATGGAAAATTCCTAATTACTTTTGGGTCATGATCACTTGCTCGTTTTTCATGTTTTTTTTATAGCATAATTATAAAATGCTTATTTTTAACGACACAGCCGTTTGTGTCAGCGTCAGCCACTTCCAGTTATTTTAGCTGATATTGCAAACTGGTATTTGTTCACTGGTTTGTAGCACAAATAGTTTTACCTTTTACTGCGTGTTGTTATGCTTCTACTTATTTACTTATAGCGGCTAATGAATATGAAGTTGACAAAAAGCAGCTTTCTTCTGGATTACAAAATAAGAAGGACAGCATCTACAGTCAGGTTTTTTATATATAATGCCTACGTAAATAAATCTACAAAATGTTGAGTATGTTGGACACTTCTTAAATGTGTTTCATTTCTTAGTCGTGCAAATATAACCAGAGTCCCTTTTCTTTCATCGTGTCTGTCTTGTAATTGCTGCATTCAGCGAACAGATCCAGTCCAGTAATGGTTGAGTGGAAATGACCCCAGAGGAGTTTACCTCTTTATTGGGTGTAACTGAGTTAAGTTCTTGCGTAATTGAAATGTAATGATCTTATCTGTAAAACTGTGATCAGATGACAAAAGTTCAAACAGGCAAATTGGTAAATATATCTGCCATCTTCCAAAAATTTCCAACATTTATTTTGCTCTTATACATATGATCCGTTTAAATATATATCCAGCTCTCCTCATTCAAAAGATCGGATCACTGCATTTATTGGTCAAGGTTCGTAGAAATTCATTGGTCAAAAGGTGTGGAACCTGTTTAGCAAACTTGAAGATCTAAGAGGTGCTGTATTCTGATGTTTTCTTGTTGTTTTTTTCTATTATAAGCATGCCTTCTGTTCACTTTCAGGAGCATCTCTATTCTCCAACATACCTGGACATCGTCTCGGCTGCTACTTCTGTAATGACGTGGTCGCCCCTGGGGACGTGAGTTTTAATCAAGTTTTTTTAATCACTTTCCTATCTGAAATTAGGTTTTTCTCAGGACACGTATTATATTAGAATATCAAATGTGCAGCTGAGACCAATCAATCATATGCTAAAGTGACGCTTTTATCTGGAAATCATATCCTACAGCAAAATACAATTGAAGACAGTTCATCCGTCACTTAGCCAAAATAAAACACTTTTACAGACTGAATAATTAATATGCTGGTTTCCATGATTTCAGTTGTTACTCGACCTGTTAGTAAACTCTTATTCCGTTGTTAGTCTACCAGAGACAGAACTCTAGACCAGCAGTGTACTGTGAGCCGTCCCGGTCTGGCCATGATCGCTGGAGCCCTGGCCGTGGAGCTGATGGTCTCTGTACTCCAGCACCCAGAGGGGTGAGTGCCTCAACTTCACACATTACACATCTGCTACTGTAAACCATGCTTTCTTCCATCCATATAGTATCCCAGAGCAGGACTCATGCATGAGGCAGTATTGAAATGTACTGTAGGAACTATGCCATTTTGTAGTACAAATAGTGTGAGCATTGTGTTCACACAGGAAATTTCAACAAGAAGAAGTGCACTCCAAATACCCAGGTGATGCACTTAATTAACTGAAAAAAATATATATAAATATAAAACAAAGTGTGCAACGTTGGACATTTCATTCATGCACTCAACTGTTGCAGCTTTCCTTGTGTAGGGAAGAGGCTAGGGCCTAAAATTAACACTCATCAAATGCCAAATGTGAGTAAAAATCAGCTTCAGCGAGTATATAAAACTGTAACGTGCTAGTTAAACTATTTTTAATGACTTCTAACGATGACTGAAAATGTTATGTAAATATATAATCTGAGTGTTTCAGAGTGAGTTTTCATGTGAACCGCTCATCACTGCCGTTCACAGTAAATGCTGCTCTGTATGCAAGTGCTGTGAGTTTGGATCGCTAATAACATGCGTTTGAAAATGCAACATGCGCCATACATCTTCAGAAGTTTAGAATGAGAAGATGGTCTATACATTTTGTTGTCAACAAAAGAGATGCGTTTCAAAAGAGAAGTTTCCAACAAAATTAAAGCTCTATGATTTGATGTTTGAAAGCAAAGAAAAAAACAACCATAAGTATTAGTATTTTAATTGTATTGATGATAATAATAATAATTATTATTATTATTATATACTTTACAGTCCAGCAGTTTTTTTTATTAAAAATAGTAATCATTTGGTAACACTTTACTCAAAGCATTTATATATAATGCATTATAAAAAAATAGTTCTAATGCATTAATTATGCTTTGTGATGCACCTTATAATGCATTGTATGATCTCATGAATAATTGTAACCAAAATTATAATACTTATGTATTCATTGTTATACCTTTAAAAAGTATAATGCAATTAAAATATAAAAACAAACCCTCATATAACCCTCAAAAAATAAATAAAATAAAAACAAAGCCGATAAACAAACCCTCAAATATTATAATGCATTTTAACTTTGCTTACATTTATTGATGAAATGATATATGCATTACAATGTGCATTATTAATAGCTTTATAATGCATTATACATGTGGCTGATAAATCTTCTCAAGTCACCAGCCATTGGCAGGTGTGGCTAAATGTTAGTTTTAGACCCTTTAGACATCTTCTAAAATTCATACATTAGATGGTTTGCATGATAGGACTAGGTGTTATGATCCCAATATTCAGCACCATTTATCCACACCATAGAACATTTTCCCTTCGCTGTGAGCAGAACACAGCGAGACGCAGCTATTGTTACGCTCTGATTTTGGTTCAGCAAGAATTCAGGATCATGGCCTAATCCATGTCCGTGGTTCTTGCCTCAATACCCAATAATCAGTCGTGAATTTACAAATGCTTTATGCGTGACTAGGGAACAATAAGAAAAAGGACTAGTATGGTAAGATGGATAGATGAAGACAGTACAATTCTTCGCTGCAGTAATCGGGTGTGGATCCTTGACATTTTAATGATATGTTATGCTGTACATGATGTGTACTTCTTTCATGGATGTTGCCAGTGAGACACCTTATCTGATGTCCATCAGATCCTAGTTTCTGTGCGAACTTTAGCCTGGGTGAAAGATGCCTTTTGTTGAGGTGATGTTGCCAGTGACCTTTGTATGGTGATTCCACCAATGCAACACATCATCAGTTGTGTACCCCAGCCTCATTGGGTTTTTCGGCCCTTTATCACAAGACACCCTCAGCCGAGGCAGGCCCACCACAGGCTGATCAGACCCGGGTGTGTGTCACTTTGTTACATGGTCATTTGGCAGCCCACACTTGTGTCCATCTGCTTCAGCCACAGCCAGTGGCTGCTTCTTTCAGCGACAGTGGCCAGTTCCTTGAGTATCCTCCGCTGGACCTGTCCTCTGATGCCCAACTTCTTCAGCAGCCTTATAGTGGAACTAGCCATTGCAGCCCACTTCCACTGTCCAGCCCTACTCCTCTGCCTCAGCTGCCAAGTTGGCATATTCTTGGCATGGCTTCTTCCTTTCAAAGGCCTCGTCAATGGCCTCTTCCCAAGGGACTGTCAGTTCGACTATTATGACGATCCTACTGGAGTTGGACCAGAGAACTAGGTCTGGGCACAGATTGGTGACTGCAATTTCAAATGGGAAAGTGAGTCTGTGGATTAAGTCGACTGGCATTTCCCAGTCCCTGGCTATATTCAGCTAGCCAGCATCAGGGGACAGGCACTTAGCCAGCTTTTTCTTCCCTTCCCTAACAAAGGACTGCCTTTTTAGTAGGTATTCTTGGCATTTTGTGGGATGGCTTTGTTGACACTCTCTTGGTCTCTATTGCTGCCGCCAAGCACTTCAGTACTTGATTGTGGCGCCATGTGTACCTTCCCTGTGTCAGGCTGGTCTTACAACCCACCAGGATATGTCTGAGGTTTGCCGGGGCTGCACACAGGTGGCAGGCTGGGTCTTGTCCACACCATACCTGACTTTTAGAGTTCTGTACTAGAACTGAGTCCTCCAGACTCTAGGACCTTGGTTTCCAAATGAAATACAATTAAAAGAACCAAAGACTTAAACTACTTCAGTCTGTGTGCATTGAATTGATTTAATACACGAGTTTCACAATTTGAGTTGAATTACTGAAATAAATGAACTTTTCCACGACATTCTAATTTATTGAGATGCACCTATATATATATATATACTGTATATGGCTACTGTGTGTCATGGCAAACCGGCCCCCAGCCTTCACTCTTGACCCCTCAGAAAAAAAACAGTGCATGACGCTTCTGTCTTCCAGTATGGATTTTACTTCTAGTTTAATGAAGGCCTTGTTGAAACCAAGGCTAAGTTATCTACCCAAGATTACTTCAGCATCATTTCGCTCCCAAGGTTTACGTTGACTGTTAGAGCCATTGGCGTAAATCTGATTGGTTGTTTGTTTGTTCTGGTGGCTGTAGCAATGGCGGTGCTGCCACTAAACACAGGATGTTGCATTTGGTGAGAAATGCTCTATCTGAGGCTTATGAGGCTCGTGGGTTATCTTGGCCTCTGGGCATTCATGTTCGCTCTGCGAGGGGTGTTGCTTCTTCCCAAGCTTTTTCTAGAGGAGCGTTTGGAGAATTTTTGTGTGCCAATCGCACATACACACACACACACACACACACACACACTGTAATTAAGCATAAACCTGCTCTTTAATTTGATTTTAATTTGATAATCTGTTGTAGTGTTCTTCTCTTGATGTGTGATGTGTTTTTCTGTCAGAGGTTATGCTGTGGCCAGCAGCAGTGATGACCGGATGAATGAACCCCCGACCTCGCTGGGTCTCGTCCCCCATCAGGTCAGTTATGAGCTCCTGTCCAGTGTCTAATATACATTTATTTGTCATTTTAAGAATGTACTTTATTATTATGTAAATACCCTGCTGAACAGATGGGCATTGCAGATTGTTGTGTTTTGTTCTTTGTGGGGATGTAATCATGCTCAGCATGAGATGAACTGGCATTGAAATTAATGCCGGTCTAAGCTGACTTCTAAAGAAGGTTTTTGTCGCTTCAGTCGTTTACTTGTCTGCCACAGTAATGTTAATGTCTTTGAATTATCTTGATATTGATTAGCAAGTATCAGTGTATGCAATTAATTAACTGCTGTAGTTGATTGGCATGCCAATGACCAGTAAAGGCTGGAATACAGTACATGACTTTTCCCAGATTTTTGCCCTGATTTACAATCTGGACAAGTTGAAGTTAGATGCTGAAAGTGCAGTTAGCTTCAGACTAAGATACAATCCAGTTGGAGGATATCAAACATGTTTTCAAATCATTTAGTTATCATTTGTCATGGGTCTTCTAGCAACAAGGCACATGTTTCTGCTTGAGTTTATTGTGTTCAGAGTGACTTGAAAGTCTGTCGCCCAGTTTTTGCTCTCTAACTATTTACATGGTCGGCAAGTTTGTCCGCTTTAAAAACACAACAAATATGATACAAAACATGACAGCCAATTGTAATTTATTAGATATCTAATATAAAGTTATGTGAATATTGATTGTGGACCAATGAGATTTCACTGTGCAAAGACAAAGCAATTGAAATAAAACGATCAACAAAACGTGCTGCTTCTTGTCATGCCTGTGGCCGATTAGGAGAAAATCTCAGATTTATATAAAAGAGAGCTTTCATCGTTTTTTGCTTCATCGCATCTCTAGTTTTCCTTTGTATTCTATATGTTCCTTCCCATAGCTCTGTTACTCTTTACCCGACTCATCAGCACTCATTGTTTACACCTGTGTCTGGTTAGCCCTGTCTGCTCAGCTTATATATAGCCTGGTTCATTCAGGCATTGATTGTGAAGTCTTGCATGTGTTATGTACTGCATTTCTGAGTCTTGGTCTATTCTGCCCATTGTTCTGGATTACTCTTTGCCTTTGTTTCTTGTTGTTTGGTCGGTTTTGCTGGTAAATGATTTTTGCCTGTGTTTGGATCACGATTGTGGATTATCCTCTGAATAAACACAGTGTTCGTATCCTCAGCCTTTGTGTTCATGACACAAACAGGAGTTCCAATCTGAAACTATAAGTGTTTGTCAGTATATGAACAGAAGCTAAATAGAATGATAGAGAAGATGGTTAGTTTTTTCAGTCATTGCTGGGAGGTGAATCTCATAAACCTGATATTTGACCTTGTGATCCAATTAATGATTCTGAAATGGCCAGCGCTTTTGAGAAGTTGTGATGCATTTTAAGCAGATGTATGAGACTATGTTATGTGATAATAGAAAGAGAAGAAAAAAAAAGCAAAAACTTTATGGAACGGGGGTCGTTCACTATTGTCTCCTGTGTTATCAGATAGCCACTGAAATGAAATGGAAAATTGAACGAGGAAGACAGGAGTAAATCCGTGGGCTAATCCTTCATGAAAGCGGTTGATGGCTCATACCGTAGGGCTTTGACGCTTATCGTTGCGCACTTGGGGACGTTCACCAGCTTTATGAGTCTCTAGAGTCAGAGAGAATGAAAAGGAAAAGAGAGAAGATGGACTTGTGTATAGAAAGTGTTGAGGGGGAAGAGAATGCTTTTAAGCTCGCTCTGTTCGAGCTGCTCTTGACCTGCCACTCCAAATTACTTCCTTTTCATTGCCTGAATGGATTGACGCTGGCAGGAAGATGCACGTGCGACACCACCTTTCACAGGCAGGAGACGTATTAAAGGAGCCATGTCCAATAATTTATAGCATTTTATTTTTTTTCAGCAAGTTCAACTTATAATGTCAGTCAAGGTTCCTTGCAGCATAAAGAGATATACTTTACTGTTTCTACAATCTCTCTGGCCCTTTGAATTAACAGCTGCCGCGCCAAACCTGTATGACAAAAGGAGATGTTTAGTAGAAGGTTCACGCTGCTCCTTTCCATACAGTGATAGTGGATGGGGACTGGGATGGTCAAGCTACAGAAATGACAAAAAAGCTGCAAAAATCCATGGAAGTCATTTGATAGCTTATCTGCTCCTCTTTCTCATGTCAGATCTCATTAACCTTCACATATAATGTGTCACTCCGAGAGTTTTATAGTGACTATTTTTAGTCCTTTTTGAAACTCGACAGTGTCTGTCCCTGTACTTTAATTCATTGGAAAAGAACAGCCAGGAACTTAAACAAAACTTAATTTAGTGTTCCATGAAAAAAACCTGAAGGATTGTGTTGACTGAGCTATTCGTTTACATTCCTGTAGCTCGAACTGTAGAGGATAGCGCTAGCAAGGTCATGGGTTCAATTCCCAGAGAATGCATCTGATAAATGCATGTAATGTGATGTTTAATGCGGTGTTATTTAGCGACTTGCCCCATCCCAGTGATCGACAGTGTGAATTACGCCTACGCAGAGGTTAGCCAATCATATCAGAGGTTATTTAAGTACAAAACTCTTAACGGTCATATAATAAAATTTTTTGGTGATCTATCCCTTTAAGAAATTAGCATTTGCATGACCTCTGATATGGGCCAAGTTACTAAATTGTTGTTGATGTAAATGTGGGTGGCCATAATAATGAGCTCATGGTTTTGATGTCACAAGCATGCAGATTTTTGAGCGTGATGCCATTTAGTTGAAATAATCGGTCTGGATGGATAGGGCAAGAAGATGTGAAGTGTGAAATTTAAAGCTTGTGTGACTTGAATGCATTATGTGTTCATAAACCTGGCAAACAGAGCACATGCAGCGACTGGATCATTATGATCCCTGACCTCATAAATTGTTTTGCCGGGATGAACATTAGGGCTTGTGTGGAAGTGATTCTGATTCAGCATAACAGTTCCAATTCCCCCTGTTTAATTAATCCTAATAGCTTGTAATGAGTCTTTTATATCAATTCTTAAAAAAAAAAACTGACTCAAACGAGTCATTTTTTTTTTTGAGTCAGGCTTCGCTGGGCACCTTCAGGTCATCACGTTGAGTTCAGACTGCGTGCTGATATGGTAACACTTTCTATGAAGCCTGTATTTAGAACACATTATAAGGGTAAGGCATTATAATGAATGCATTATATAAATAAAAAAAAACTTATAATATGTTGTTTCATCTCATAAATAATCATAACAACAATTATATAACATTTATGAGTATGATTATTTATAACACACAATAAACACCATGTTAAACACCATGTTAAGTACACTGTTCACTCACTCAGACTCACACTCACTCACTCAGACACACACGCACTCGCACTCACACACGCACTCGCACTCACACACGCACTCTCACACACACACTCACTTTCCCTCTCTCTCACTCACACACAGACACACTCACACTCTCACACACACAATCACACTCACACACTCAAACATACACACTCACACTGATACTCTCACACACACACACACACGCACACACACACACGCACACTCACACACACGCACACTCTCTCTCTCTCACTCACACACACTCACTCTCTCTCACTCACACACTGTCACACACACACTGTCACACACACACTGTCACACACACACTGTCACACACACACACACACACACACACACTGTCACACAGGGGGCTAATGACACAGCTACAGATGTCAAAGAGCTGCTCTCTGGGTTATTAGCTCCACTACTGTCACACACACACTGTCACACACACACTGTCACACACACACTGTCACACACACACACACACACACACACACACTGTCACACAGGGGGCTAATGACACAGCTACAGATGTCAAAGAGCTGCTCTCTGGGTTATTAGCTCCACCAGCATGCAGCATTCATATGCCCCTTCTGAAATAATGCTCCCCTCCTCAAGAACCCAGAACTGCAAATATGTGACTCCTTACACATAATGCGATTAATCAGAAAAGCTCTCTTGACTGTGTCTAATCTCAACACAATGCCAGATGTTGGCGAACAGGACACATGCGACTGGGTCATTATAATCCCTGACCTCTTAAAGTGTTCTTGACGGGATTTAGTGTTCTGACCTTTTTGCATTAATGTTGCATTGGGCTGAACATAACAGCATGGCACACAGTGATGATGGGTGATTCGTTTCTCTTTAGCTCACACTGCACCCTGCTGGATGTGTGAGGAACTGCAGCGTATCTGCTCTGAGGGTTTGAAGGTTTATTCTGTGCTGTTTTTCTAAACCAGCGCTCTGTGATTGTCTAGTGAGTAATATTATCATAGTGCGCATGAGAGTAGTGCCTGTCAGAGCTGTGGTGTGATGAAGCAGCATCTCTTCCCTGTTCATCAGCCATAACAAGCAACATGCATTTTATTGATCATTTGGTTTATATTCCTGTCATGTTGTGCCACTCCACTAACTGTTTAAAAAAAACTGTGAAAAAAAATCTTGCTCCACATATATGTACACTATTGAAAAGTTTGAGCTCATTTTTTAAAAAGAAATTAATACATTTATTCAGCAGCGATGCATTAAATTGATCAAAAGTTACAAAGAAATCTGTAATGTTACAAAAATGTCTATTTCAAATAAATGCTGCTCTTTTGAACTTTCTGTTCATCTGTGAATCCTGAAAATAAAATGCATCACAGTTTCCACAAAAATATCGTGCAGCACGACTGGGTTCAACATTGATAATAATCAGAAATGTTTCTTGAGCTGCAAATCAGCATATTATACTGATTTCTGAAGATCATGTGACACTGAAGACTGATGTTCAGCATCTCGATCAAAGACTTAACGCTTCATGGATCCTGAAGCTGAACCTACAGCCTTTCAATTACCGGCCCAGATGTTTAATCACTGAACACACCCCTACAAAACCTTAATGCAGTGGCCCCAAAAAACTCTAGAACAGTATTTGAAATGTATGGATTTCATTGCATTAGTGACGAGAAATCAAACATGTGGATGTGGAAACAAATGGTGGTTTGCTCGTTTTTAGTGGCTGCATGAAGTCAGTTCTCCTGAAGGTGTTGTAAAAGAGGAACCAAAGGTGTAGAGAATCACATGAACCACCAACATCATGTTCAGCACGACATCTGTTGTTTTAACATTTCAGAACTAGTGGGATTTTCTTTCTTTGCAGTTCTTGACACTTGCCTGTTTTTTTTGCATTGATATTCTTGGTGTTTGAAGTGCTGCTGTATGTAAATGCTCTGATGCATGCTCAAACTTCACGATTGCAGTCCCCACCAATTTGATTTAAAAAGTAATCAGATTTGAACAGAAGCACATTGGATGATTTTGTTGGATTTACATCAAAGAGCGCATGGACTCGTGGGTAGTGCGTAACGCATCAGCGCCTGTAAATGCCTGGTAATCTTCAAGCCGAAGCTTCAACCCCTCTTATCTTCCCCTACAGCTCTTTCTTTAATTTGCTTTCAATTAAGATCAGCCGGCGACAGTAACTCCTGAGACGCATATATGCAGTGAGAGCAACGTGACTAATTGAACACACAGCGCTCTATCATTTGCCCGCCGCTGGCTCCGCTCTTCTGGAATGTGCTGTTGGATGAGCGTGGCGTGGCTTTCATACCAAAACCACCAATAATCATTTACATGTACTTGTAGAAAAGTGTGTTTCTTGATGGGAAGTGTATGTGTGCAACATGAGTTTATTTCTTCTAGATTAATGGAATCCTTTTGTTTTTATAATGTGTATTTAAAGATCATGGTCATGTTTTTTTTTTTTTCTTTATTGTAATTTCCCTGCCAAAATGTTCACCAGCTTTTAGCAAATGGCTGCAATATAACAAAGAGTGAAAAATTTAAGGGGGTCTGAATACTTTCCGTACCCACTGTATATATTATATTTGTAAAAACATTTCACAAAATATTACTTAAAAAATAACGTCTAGTGCGAACTATTTTCTAATTTTTCTACATTTACAATAAAAGATAAAAATCTTATAATGAAACCTCTGGAAAACAATAAATTGCCTTTGCATATGTGCTATTGTCATAAAAATTGTCACAATATAACAAAAAAATCTTAATGATCCTAAATAGACTTCATTTGCACAATCCAAAACATAATTTCTTACAATTTGTTGGCATAATTAAATTTTTAAGCTTAAATTTGTGTGTGTGTGTGTGACAGTGTGAGTGTGTGTGTGAGTGTGAGTGTGTGTGTGTGTGTGTGTGTGACAGTGTGTGTGTGAGTGTGTGTGTGAGTGTGACTGTGTGTGCATGCGTGTGTGACAGTGTGAGTGTGTGTTTGTGTGTGTGCGCGTGACAGTGTGAGTGTGTGTGTGTGTGTGTGTGAAATAAGGCACAGGAATTCTCTTTAACAGGTTTAAAATTGGATGTCATTTACAATACTTTAACTTTCATTAACATTAATATAAGTTTGTAATTTGAAAGATATAGTTATGTAAGTTTCTTCCTTTCAGAAATATTTATTTCAAAATAAACATTATTTTCAGCAGATTTTATTGATGATTTATTAAAATTCATTGCATTTATTTCTCTGATGACCATAAACTGAAGTAATGTAATCAATCTGAAATTTTCGTTAATACTCTTTTTACATAAGATCAGGAAAAGCCATGAAATCTTAAACTAATAAATGTTAAGTATATTTTGAGCTATTAAAAGAGCTGTATGGTCCCCAAACAGAGCATGATAGTTAAGATAAAACAGAAGATGGTTTTTATAATGGTCACTGCCTTCTGTCTTTACTGTCACACACCAGGTGGCGCTAGAGATTAAGGAACATTTTTCCATACTGATACTGTAGCTTAAAAACATTTGTTTCTTTACAGATTCGAGGATTCCTGTCAAGATTTGACAACGTTCTTCCTGCAAGTTTGGCGTTTGACAAATGCACAGCATGCTCACAGATAGTAAGTGACAAGTTTACATGCTTTTGATTTGGGATTGAGATAAATGCAGCTTTATTAGAACTGTTACGCAATGCCTGAGTTGTGTGCATTGTGGTTAAAGATTAAAAAAACAATTGTAATAATGAAATAGTTTAGAGTTAAACTAAGATAATGAATATGCTTGCGTAAGGAGTCGTGTAACGGTATCTTCAGCATGTTGCCAGTTCTTCTGCAGATAATGAAGTATCTGTAGATGATGTGTGTGTGTGTGTGTGTGTGTGTGTTAGAGAGGCCATGTGTTGTGAATTAGGCTCCTTGTTGATGTCACAGCTGTATGTGAGTAATTAGGGCTGAATTGAAATGTTTTTTCCCAGCGGTCGCGCTGTTGTTGACGGGTTCACGTCTCATATATCTGCTCAATCTCTTCTGCATGTGTGTATGTGCTCTCCCAGTGGTCTCTCTCTCATTTAGCAGCTCTGTAGCCACTCCTTCTTCACAAACACACACTCGTACGTGAACACAGTGAGTCTGAAGGCTGACGGTGAGCTGTGGCCGTTCCCTTCCCCCTCTTCTACTCTAGCTTCACTCACTTTCTCTTCCAAGTTCTCTCTCTCTCTCTCTCTCTCTCTCTCTATTTTCTTCGTGCTGTAAAGACATAAAAGCCTCATAAAATGTTCTTAATCCTTACACTTTGATGCAAGACTGTCAGGGAACTGTGTGAGGTGAATGTCTCGTGGATAGCTGCCCAATCACAGCACACCTCGCTTTTCAGTCCGATGAGCTTTGTAAAAATCGACGTGTTTCAGAAAGGCGGGGCATAGAGGAGAAACAATAATGTACAGTATGTGGAAAATAATGTGTTTTTTTTTTACTTTAAACCGCATAAACACGTTTCATTACACCAAATACACAAAATAATGTTCTTTTTAGCAACATCATATGACCCCTTTAAGGAGCAGGAAGTGTTGAACGTGTTCAGTCATGGTGTTCAGCTGTGTTTTATAGTAACAGTAGCTGAGCTGATATGTGCTCTTCGTCAGGCAGTAATCAGTCGGCGTGCAGAGCTCCAGTGGTGTGTTAGTGATGTTGGCCTCCATCAGCTGTGTGTGTGTGTGTGTGTGTGTGTGTGTGAGCGTGAAACCATGGAAACCAAACACTCGAGTCCTCGACTGACAAGCGCTTGTAAATTTGGAGACGTAGTGTTTTGTCCGTGCTGAAGACAGACTGAAACAATGTCCCTTTGAAATAAAACTCTCGAGCAGATGTGAGGACCTTGCACCTCCAGAAGATGCTTTGAAACACAAATCACAGGATTCACGACGTCGCCGCTTTATGGCTTATAGCGTCCCATAAAATCCCATTATAGCATATATAACATAAACACTCACACAGTTCTTAAAATTCAAGAAATTATTTCTTCAAAGTTCTTTATGATATATTTGCCAATTCTTTCTGATAACTTTTTATTATCTTTCGTTTTTAAACTTTTTATTAACGACGTTAATAGCAGTGTTTGCTAAGATAAACAAGCGTCACTTTTACTTTTGCTCATTTTGGTTTAAATGTATTAAACATCTGTGTTGGGGGGTAACGCATTACAAGTAACGAGCGTTACGTAATCAGATTACTTTTTCAAATAACTAGTAAAGGAACACATTACTTTTTAATTTGGTAAAGAATGTATCTGCGTTACTTTTTCAAATAAGTAACGCCAGGTGCTTTGTTTGACACAACCAGTATTGTATGAAGGTGACTTGACTTGTTTTCCCATGTATTGACTGACTGCTCTCCTGTCCGCGTGTTGAGAGAAAGCAGGCGTTGTGAGCGCTGTGTGAACATGATGTTACTGTAGATCTAGACTAAATGAGAACATGCCTTTACTCATCTCACACGCACAAAAACAGATTCAGCATTCCTCAAAATCAATAAAAGAGAGAAATGCAAACTCAGAATATGAAGCAAATCTGCAATAATTAAATATGTTGGGGGATCCAACATGGCGGCGAGCTTGGCAGACACACGACTTTACACTCCTGCCACAGACAACCAGATTTCAGTTTTTTAAGACTCTTAAACAAAGAGTATTGATTCGTCATGGCAAATCCAAGAAGAATCCAGATAAAACTGAGGAAACTCCTGACAGCAGTGAAGCTAGCGCTAAGCTATTGGGTGATGTTAACGTGACGAAGGCTCTCGCAGACATGAACAACTGTTTCTCTTCCGAATTCGAAGGTGTCCTGAATGCTATTCAAGAGATTTAAAAAAAAGCAGAAGACTATCAGAAGCTGAACACCGAATTAGTGAGATAATGCGGAAGAATGACAGAAAACGGGGAATGTTCTGGAAAGTCGAATAGTAACGCTCAGCTCAGATCTGGATGACTTAGAGAACCACAGCCGTCTCTGCAATCTCCCATTAGTCAACCTGCCTGATCCTGACATTTCTCCACATCCGTGATCGACGGAGAGTGATGCAGGCTGCCAGAGAGATGGGGATGGTGAAGTATCAGGAACACAAGGTGATGCTTTTCCCAGACTTCTCAAACGTCAAAAGCAATTGGAGGATGTGAAGAAGCGTCTCCAGTCACTGAACATTCATACAGATTTGTGTATCCAGCCAAACTGAGCTTCCTGCGTAAGTCCAGTGGAGGATCTGTGAGACGGCAGGGATGAACAGAAGCGTGTCGAGGAGATCACAGAAGTGTCAGGAGAGCCATGAGAAGATCTTAACTAACTGGCTCAAAGTTATACAGTTTTATTTCTCAATGCTGGTATCATATTTAAGGTAATTAACCTATGGATTAACTCGGACATGTAATGTGACAGTTAACAGTTTAACTAGTAATGATTCTGATTCATAAAGCCATTCCATTTAAAATATTAAAGGAGATTTCAGATAAATCAGGCAGATATTAAATTGTACAAGGCTCTCTCATAGATAACACTTTAACCCATGTACATGTATTTGGGCCCAATTCTGGCAGTCTTAGTCTTGGCCTCCCAACCTGGCTATTTAATCATAGGAGGAAATGTTAATATAACGTTAAACCCATGTTTAGATGTTTAGCAAAGACATGGCTCACATGCAGAGCAGGAAAAAACTTCATAGTTTTATAGAGGAAGAGCGAAAACCTCCACCATCTCTTCAAACAGTTACAGGGGAAGTTACAAGAAGCAGTGGGTGGAGCTGGCGGAGAGCGCCGCTGTATGTAAACCAGATGTGCTGCTCGCCCTCCAAAACACTCTCTCTCTCACACACACACACACACACACACACACACACACGGCGTCAGTGATTTAATGGGCTTCATAAGTCAAAGGCTCCAATTTAAGGAGGTCCACTCCTGGAAAACACAATTAAATCTTGTTTGGCTGCTGTTATGTTGCTAGGCAAGAAAGCAAGTTATGATACACATGATACAGTGCGATGTTTATTCATACAAGATAAATAAGTTTATTTTGACAGAGAAAATGATGTGCTTTTGGAGTTTATGTCTGTATAAAGCTCTTCCTCAGTCATCTGTTTTATACTGTAGATTCTGTTATAATTTCAAAAGTTTAGACACCAAAAAAAAGACAGCAATGACATTTGTTTGACAGTCAGCCTCAACATTTTCTGGCCAGAGAGCAAGTACGTAATGTCCTTGAGATCTCTGTTGGCATTTGTACTTCAGAGTGATCATGTTATCTACTTTTGCAACATTTTTTGTTTTCTTTCTTCCCTGAGGTCCTCTTATAATGTCAGTCTAGTTGTCCTGCCTCAAAAACAGTAATGATTGAGTTTTCATGACCATTTTCCACCTTCTCTGACTCTTAAACCCAAAGTATACTTCAGTTTTGACACAAACACTAAGCATAAGGGTGAGCGATATGACCACAATTTTATTTCACGCTAACAATATATATCTCGATATAGCTATTTGTTATTTTATTTTATTTTTATTAAACTTTTTAAGCAAATTACAAACAATAGGACAAATACGATAGAACAAACGTACAAATTAAACTTTTTTTTTTTAGCCACAGTAGGTTGTTGGCATTTGTACTTCAGAGTGATCATGTTATCTACTTTTGCAACATTTTTTGTTTTCTTTCTTCCCTGAGGTCCTCTTATAATGTCAGTCTAGTTGTCCTGCCTCAAAAACAGTAATGATTGAGTTTTCATGACCATTTTCCACCTTCTCTGACTCTTAAACCCAAAGTATACTTCAGTTTTGACACAAACACTAAGCATAAGGGTGAGCGATATGACCACAATTTTATTTCACGCTAACAATATATATCTCGATATAGCGATTTGTTATTTTATTTTATTTTTATTAAACTTTTTAAGCAAATTACAAACAATAGGACAAATACGATAGAACAAATGTACAAATTAAACTTTTTTTTTAGCCACAGTAGGTTTATTAAATTTTTTATAAGAAATACTACAGGAATTGAATAGTCAAGTGTAGTCTTCACTGTATAAATCATATAAGAATCGATTCTTATTAAAGATCCAAAAGTGATTCAGTCGAGAGCAGTGAGTGATTTTCTCTGTCTTCTGTTGTTTGATTAACATTAATGACAGACAGCAGCAGGTAAATTAGACTGCTGTCCCTTTAAAACTGACTGCACCGATCCAATATACTGATACACCGTTTTCACCCAACTATTCACATTAAAGGCCTTTCCACACTGAGCAGGAAAAAGCGAAACGAATATCGGACGCGATGACACGCTGGAATAAAACAATAGATTTCTATGGATGCTTCCACATAGACCGCGAACAATCGCGCCCCGAAAATGCGAATGTTTTTTTTCTTCGAACCAGTCTGACAAATCTTTTCAGTTTCGCAAAGCGAAAACACGGGCCGTCCAATAAGATTTGAGCATTACATCACGTGACCGGAGCAGCTGCTCTTGGACAAAAAGTCAAGAGTGGTGGCGCTGTTTTGAAAACCAATTTAAACTACTGTAACACAGAAGAAGAGTATCCCGAGAGAGAAGAGAGTGGATGACGAGTTTTTGTTATCTTTG